AGCCGAAATAGCTCAGTTGGGAGAGCGTTAGACTGAAGATCTAAATGTCCCTGGTTCGATCCCGGGTTTCGGCATGTTTCTTTTTTTTTTTAGACATTATTTCTGGAAAGAAAGCTGCACTCGCAGAGTTCATTCCTGTCGTGAAGATATTCTCGGTTAAAAGTATTTAATTTTCTTTTTAAACATATATTTGTTTTACTTATATTGAAAGAGCGACGAACGCTTCCGCAATGAAATTACATCTTTCTTAAGATCTACAATTATGTTGTTACTAAATAACATTGTTGAAAGGATTCGCGAAAGATTGGCTCATCCAGAAATAGATAATTATAAACCTTTTTCTCCCTTTAATTAATTAATTTAACCTTTTAGTTAAATATATCCGTAATGTACACTTAAATAACAGTTATTATTAAATTATTGCGTATATACGGATCGAAATTCTCTCGATTATCCGCGGAGCCGTCGACCTAGCCCCAGGCTACGATTGTATCATTCGCGTGAGTAAGGACGCGATTATATCGATAATAATGGTTCTCGATGTAAAAGTCAGCAAGCGTAATTCACGATTCAACGACCTGTTCATTGAGCACAAACCGGTGAGTCCGCGTATGTTTGGCGTAACTACATTACACGCACAAATTGCGATTATACATGTGCACCGTACGTTCGTTCGTGGCGAGGCGAGGTATTTGACACGGCTGACACGATATTATGTCGCAACCCATTGTACGTTTAGAAATATTAGCGTTAAACCTTTGGCGTTTAACGGATTATTTATTACAGAGTATTTCAAAATCGACGTCGCGCTTCTCCCAACGCGAGTCCTCCGCTGACAACTTTTTCCTAATGAGGGACGTGGAAGACAGAGACGCCGCTTGAAAGTCTTCCTTCTTTCGAAATACGCAAATCGCAAATAAATTGCAGCTTATTAAATATAAAATTGGAGATAATCTCGGAGATGATCGCACGTCAAAGTAAATATCCGTTGCGAAACGCCGACGGGTGCGCCCCGTCAGTCATTATCGCGATTCGAACTGGAGCGACCGCTCCATATTACTTAATACCGTTGTATATTTGTCGCGACTAATTATACGCCCTGTTCTAGATCCGGGCTCTTCGATTTGTCGTCTGTGCGCCAACCTGCTAAACGCGCGCGCGTTTCCCTCTTGAAATTTCAGCGATGCGACTGCCTTCTCTTATCTACGCTTATTACCTCATCGACCGATATTGCCTGCGGGATTCCGAAATATGGTGCGCTTCTGGAACAATTATCTCTTAATTAGATTTCTGCTTCGGGAGCATATATGTTTCACGGAGCTCTCTCCTACGCATCGCATCGATGCGCTATCTCCCGTTTCCGTTCCGCTTAACATTTCGTCTGTTCCACTGGGAAATACAGTAATCGATATACGGATAATTCATACATTTATGAGATCTTGTTTCCTTTTATTGTGCTCCTACCTCTTTTTCTCGCTCCTTTTTATGGGAGCTGCAGAAATTTTTGAGGAAGCAGTTGTACGCTTACCAAGCAACATTGTCGTCGCACCTCGCTTCAAATAAATTCTGTCTTATTTACAGAGTCGTGGCTAACGATCTACCAAACATGTTACGGCTCATGGTACTTCTGCTTCTGTGTAAGTACAGTTTAAATTTCTATTTTTAGTTACTATCGCAGACGTAGTTTTTGATAAGCCAACGCTATTGAAGAAATTGCTACATTTATTTCAAATAATCCCTAGAACAGTAAGTAGCTATGAAAGTAATTACGTAATAAAATCCAGGAATTTTATATCTCATTTCATTGCGCTAGCTCAAACTGTCTGACATTATCTTGTTATATTTAGAACATCATTTATGGAGATGTGAAAACGGTAACACATTGAAATTAATTCCTAGCGTTATGTAAATTTACAAATTCATATAGTGTGCGCGTATCACACTTGAACTAACTTAAATTATTACAAAATGTCAAGGGAATAAACTCGGGTGGGATGGAAGGTAAGAGTTTCGCGGTAGCCTACATTTTCCGGCGAAGTTACTCCTAGAGAGTAACTATACAAAATTTGGTTCAGATCGGTCAAAGGGTCTATGAGTTAACAGGAATATACATTATAGAGAGACATTTTATTATACGTATAGATCATATATGTATAATGATTTAAAATGAAAAAATTCCCCTGGATACCGCGACAAAAGAATAATTTCGTAATAATAAAATTTTCATCATAGTCAAACTGTTTGGTACGTTTGCACAAACGTCTGAATTACTTAGCGGAACGGCAGCATACTGGCGTTAGTGGAGGCAGGGATGAGAGAACCTCATCGATAAAACAAGTGTATTTCACAGCCGTGTCCCTCGCGATTCGCGGGCTTCGTTCTCCAACGAATCAATTCACTCGGCAACGAATCGGCGGAATAAAAATTCCTCCTTTTGAGCTCGCGCGGGTTGACGCCGTTGTCTTTTTGTCGTCCTTTATCTTCCACGGCCTGGCATTTAGAGGGATCGATGGGAATACGGGAATACAATCGGCGAAACGCGCCATTTACTGGCGCGCCGTCCCGATGGTCATCGGCCATCAGCGTGGATGGTGGATGGTGGACAAACGATTAATCTCCACTGCGCCGCCGCGCTGTGTGGGATTACTCAATATTTTTATTTATTATTTCTCTCTTATCGCCGCTGCTCATCCGCGCTGCTGGCCGATAATTACGGACCAATCGCGTAGCTATATCTCTGGCAGCGTGGGAGCGCCGTGGCATCCTGTCGCGGATAAAGTCAAGGATTCGCTTCCGCGGCGAAGGTGAATCCGATGTAGGATCGCTCGGCCCGGGATTTATAGCCGTTTACTCGTTGCTTCTCTTCTACGTCGGGGAGCACAATCTGCGATACAAGAAGATCGATGTTGTTGACTCACCCACCATTCACGCGGCATTTGTCACCGCGCTTGTCATTGCCTCTCATCGCAGAGACATGAAAATTTTACTTTCCTTTCCCGCGGAATTCGGGTATAAAAGGCTTTAAGGAAAAATGGCACGCTTAGGTCGCGTTTTAGAAAACATTGTGAGTAGCGATTGACTCGTGCGTACTAATGAGCTTTGTGTTGTATTTTCAATTGAATATTTAATTGAATATTGCTATTGGGAATACAATTCTGTGTGTTAGCAACACAATACGTCTAATTATGTTAATAAAATATCCTATAGAACGTCAATCAGCATCGATTTCTTAAAGCCTGATTAATCTTAGCTTGTTTTTTCAATGATTATCAATAAACAAAAATTGTATACAAAGAAGAAATAACTTGCGGTACGTAATCCAGAGATAAATTCCGATAGATGTACAAGAGAACGTTAAGTCTAATTAGTCATTCATTAAGTCTAATTAATGATTTTTGACATCGCATACCCGATGAAGACTCTCTGAAAAACCTCCGTTATTATTGCAAGCCGTCATATCTAGCTACACAGTAATTTATAGCGAAATGAAGAGATATATTGGATTAACTGAACGAGCTACTGAATAACGTTTGAGAAACCTCTCAACGTAGCGAGGTAGAAAAGTTCACGACTACTTCGTTGGAAACGCGCGATTCGATATCCGGGACTTAGTGCAAGTATGCGCGGAAAATTTTTCATCGCCATGAAAGTTCGTCGCTTACCTTCGCGAAACTTTGCACGTTTTCCACGATCTCGTAAAGAATTTCGCGGAGCAAGTTACGACTTGGTCCGTATCACTTTTTATCCATCTTTATTACTCTGTCGCATCTCTCCTTCTCTTTCTGCATTTTCCAATAATGTTCCGTATGGCTTTGGATTCAGCACCGTTAAGTTTCCTCTTCGAGATCTCAGATTGTGCGTAACATTGCCAGAATTGGCAGACAGGCCGTTAATCTCTCGTCCGGCAAAGTTACTTTTTACTCACGATTAGATACTTCTGTTATGCATTCAAGCAACTTATCGCGAATATTATAGTGCTTGGCAAAATGCATAGAATCGCCTTCAGTTATCATCTGTTATATTAAGTACCGTGCGAACTTGTAATATCGGCACGTCAAACGTGCAAATAACAAAGTGACGATAGCCCATCGACCTCTGACTCGAGTTTTTACCTTACGTAACGTGTCGTAGGTATCACGCGCTTTCTCTCAACTATTCTTTAATGAATTTTCCCGCAGCTCTCTTTGAGATTGAAAGTCATAATTCTTCGCATTCCCGGCAATTTTCACAAGCGCGTATCCGTAACCAAAAAATTAAATTAAAAAGACTTTTGCTAAAAATTAACTTGCAATTAATTTCACGAAGGGAACCGACAATCGAATATTGTCATTAGTATCTTTCAAACGAAGCAGTTTGTTCATTAAATAGCTACTTTAAACAGCCCTTAATAGCTTTAACAGTTTTTAATAACAATAAATATTTTTCAAACGTCGAAGAAATATTATCCGAAACACTCTAAGACACAAAGTATTGAAATATTATAAAAAATTTATGTCATAAACATTTTCTAAATTATTTTTTGTATTTTTAATATCTTACGCGTGCTAGTGTTCCCACGTGTGATGACGTATAACATCATCCACGATACTCCAGCACGTATTCAAGCATTCTTGAAAAAAAAATTCTCCAATTCTCTCGCTGTCCACGCGTACTGAAACGCCGTTGTGTTTTAGTAGCAACAGAACAAAATTCGTAAGCCAAAATGATCTGTTCAGGTTCATTGTTCTCTCGATATTGATGCGGCGTAGCCCTGTTCTACCGCGACCAGTTTACCTACGTCAGACGGCAGTGAGAAAAAAAATCGCGGCGTGTGCAATTCTATCATAACACCCATGGGATTATACGGGCGCGTTGACCGTGTGATTCTACCGGTATGCTTGATAAAGCTTCTTTATTCAACAGCGAAAACAGTTGTGAATGGTTGCCTGCGCTCGCATATTTTCACAACGTCGCGTTGTAGCGCGAAAGCAGCTATACAAATATGCCAAATGCTTGCCGTAGTCACGACTGTAGAATATTCGGATTAGACGGCCGCGCCTCGCTGACCTAATTTCTCATGGAGCGAGACGCATGATTGTTTAATCTCAACTCTAATCCGCGCTTCCGACTTTCAGGTATCGCCGCTACTTACACGCCTGGCCGCTGCGAAGCAGGGGTGAGTGTACGCTCCATTCCGTTTTATTTCTCTCTCGTTTTATACAAAGTACCGGGAATAAGAATAGTCGTATAGTCCCCCAGTTGTAAAACGTACCATTATATTCCCCTTAAATTTGACTAAAGGTGAAATTAATCTGAAATTAAATCTGAAATTAATTTTGCAACTAGTTACGGGGCTCGGTGTAACTTTTCAATGCCACTCTTAATTCCATAAAAATGTCATTTAATTTATCACGCCGCGATAATTTCGGGACAATCTCTCCGCAATTCTCGAAGTTTAATATTAAGTTCCCGACTTTCCCGTAAAGTTGCCACACGGACGACGAAGTCTTTGTATCCACGAATTATCCTTCTCGGTGCCCTCGCGGATCCGCGCCGGACGCGAGGCAAGTTCGGGGCCGGGTGGTTTAAGAGAAACATGTTGGAATATTTATCGCGGATTTTCTTTAACACTGTACAGGTATAAGTGATCGAACGATGGCTCTCGTAAATATTCAAGACGCTAATCTCAAGACCTATCGCGGCTCCAATCAGGCGGCACTTTGGAGCGCCGAAGTTAATTAGCGGCTAAGTAATTAAAGTCCCCGCGGCCCTTATTTCAAGCAATGCAATTTAACTTTCCGTAGAATTCCGTACGGACGGTGTACGCGCGACGGTTATTGCGACGACTTACGGTTTGCGAGCAATCGATTCGAAAGAGGTAAAGCACGGTCGGGACAGCGCGCTTCGGGGTGACGCGGAATTTCCAACCGCTCGCGTGGAAATGTACGTTACGAACGCTCTTTTCTCATCCTTGCAGATGTAACGCGGATTTTAATTTACGGGAGCGCGAGATCTAATTACAGTGTCACGAGTTACGCGCGGGCGCGAGCGAATTCCGTTCCGCGGTGCCGTGAAAAATCGCTCGAGTGAAATTACAATACGCTTCCGCGAGCGTCGCTTTGAAGTCGCCGTTAACTAATAAATACCGACGATGGTCAATACTCGCGATGCACCGTTTACCGGTTAACCGTGATTTACGCGACGGTAGGTGTAGGTGCAGGTAACGGCGACGGACTCTCCCGCCCGCTGCAGCGAAATTTAATCAAACTTTCGTTGCCCGGTGGGATGCGAGTTGCAGTATCGAATTTCATCGTGTGCGGGATAACGCAGCGGCGTTCGTTCGCATTTTGTGCGTCGTATCGTCTCGCGCACGCGAAATCAATAGCGTTTAATGCACTCATCGTACGCTCGTTGAAGCGCACCAATGCATAAATTGATTTCCCTAATTATCAACGTTTCACGCATGTATGACGTGTGTGTATTATAAAAAGAGAAGGAATCGGGAAATTTCACGGCAAACTGAGAAGCTGCTTTGTAACGGCATACCTTCCGTTAATATATACAGCTCGCGACTGAATATTCTGAAGTAGATTTTTTTTGCAAGTACGTCGTTTGATAAAAAATGTCGCAAATTTTCGAATGAACTAATAACCGACCGTTCGGCTTTGTGGATTCTCAATTAATTTCGAACCAGAAGCATCGTATATTCTCCGAACGGCTTTACATTATCAGTATCATCCGCGATCTAAATGATGATTGGATTACAAGATAGCATCTAGAGAAGATGCAAGCCTTGGAGGAAAAGTAATTCAACAGGAGCGAGCTGTAGGGCGAGTCGAAAGTAGCGTATCTTTCGAGAGACCTGCGGAAACTCGCTATCGCGAGCGCTTTTCTGGAAGTAGTTGTACATTCTGAGAACGTATTACGTTGCAGGCATCGCGAGATGTCGAGCATGCGAGACTGCCAGAGTTCCTCACGGAATTGGACCTGTCGAGTCTCGAGGCATCCGAGGAAGACGTCGAAGCGCTGAAGAAAATCGTGAAAAGGCTGGCGCCCGAAAAGAACGGCGAGTACCAAGTTTACCAAGGTTCTTTCACAGAACTGTCCTACTAACCTCGGGACTACATCGCTAATCTCTTTTTTCTTTTCCGACCTAACTAAAACGATTCGCTTTTTTCTCCCATTGCCAGTCTTCTTCGGTAACGAGGACCTCCTCAAGGAGTGGCTCAAAGGAGCGGGTATTATTACTTAAAACATTTTTCTCTGTGTGCATGTTGCGTCTCTTTGATGTAACCATCCTTATTCCGAACTCTTTTATTATCTACTCTCTCATACTTTTGCAGAATAAACTGTTTAACATCGCGTTTTAACTCTTTGGCAAAAACTGTTTATGCAAAATTATCCTTTAAAGTACGTTGGAATTCTTGAAAACGGCTGTTTGTAATTTCATTCCGCGTGGCAAGAAAAGCTGCCGCGGTTAAAAACTGCATGTGGCAACCAAATTTCATTTGTAAAACATGGACAGCTAATATTTAGCTGCGATAGCTAAACATTCTGCTATTGTGTCTATTGTATTAGGTGCGACAGCAAACCGTTTTCCGTGGTTTATAAATTTATACTTATGGCAGCAAAATATTTTTAGCAAACCTTGATTAGGCACGGTAGCGAAAATTTGTTTTCAGTGCGTGCTTATTAATCCCAAAGTTCTGATTGAATTCGTAGATGAGCAAGAGGACCGTATAGATACGGATGAAAAAGTTATGAATAAATATTTCTCCCGCTCGCATATTTTTTCATCTAGGCATAAAAATAATATTTGCTTATTCCGACTTCTCACTCCTCGGCGCTTCACGTATTATCTTTTCCCATGTATATATTTGCATTGTGCATGCGCATATTTGTCTTTCGCATGTAAACATAACGTGCAGTCATATATTTAAATGCACTTCTGCAAGTTGTGCATCTGCGCAAATATTTACCGGAAGCTTCTTCGGTAAATTTGGGACACCCCATACATCGGGATATCGCACTCGTGCAGAAGCGAAAACGAGAGCATATCCGATGTCTGTGTGTGTGTATGTAATGTCGCCTCTCCAAAACCGCCTTTCCGAAGCGTCAGATATTACGTAAGGCTGTGTAAGCGAAAGTCATTGAGTGCGTGCGACTATCTCGGGGCGATCGGGCTGCGTTTCTGCTTTCCCACGCGGTGCAATTTTTCGTTTTACGATGATTGTGCGCCGGCGCTTCGTGACTTTCCACTCAAGTGACAGACTTTCTACGGCAGCGCTATTCCGGCCGATCTGCTATTTCTCCAAACATGACGTAATTGCATTGTTACGTTCGGTAATTAAATTTTCGAAACGCGAATGGCGTTAACGCGCATCGACAATATAATCTATCGCTCGTTTATCATCTTGTGCACGAAGCGATATGATGGGGAATCTAAAACGATCTTTGTCGTTGCCCACGGTAGTTACCGGTTGGATATTTCGCGTGGAATTGTTCATGCACGGGAAAATTCAATGGCATAGCTCGCATAATTCGCGAAAGCTTGAAGCGACTGTGCTGCGATATTTGTATTTTAGAAGCACGGCCGCGAAAAATGCGGGATGAACATCAGGTAATGTCGCGTTGATACAATGTATACCTGTGTACATAGGCGCTGTAAAATTTAATAACACTCTACTTCGTACTCAGGCGTGACGGGACAGCCCGGGGTAGATTATCCAGCCCTCACGTCGATTCCAGCCACTTCATTCAGCTGTCGCGGCCTGAGAGGGGGATATTACGCGGATTTAGAAACAAATTGCCAAGTAGGTGATATCGATATTACGTACCTCATTTGCTTCTCGCAAAAGTCACGCGGACTGATGTTCAATTGTTACTTGTGGATTACCGAAATTCAAACATTTGTGGTATGCCCGTAAAAAAATAGAGGAAAATTGCTTATCACGAGACAGGCTCCTAATATGAGATAGCGGGGTGTCTGTTAAATTAACAAGCATCAACTGTTAGTTCCACCATTAATTCATTGCTCTTGAAGTGAAATCCGTTTAGTGGAAAATTCATTGTAGAATCGTGTAATCGTCGCGAAAAAAGATTTGCGATTGAATTTGGACGTTGAAAACCTGCTCTCTCACATTAGAAGCCTATCTCACAACAGGGAACTTTCTTCTATAAATATAAAATATAAATGTCAAATAAAGAAATTTGGAGAATGAAAGGAAATAATATTTTCTGAAAATAGTTTCTTTATTACGATACATCTCAAGTTCCAATAGAATTTCCGTGTACGAAATTGCCTCGAAACAAGTAATCACATTTAATAGCATTTGTAGCGCTCTTACAGAGGCTTCTCGGCTAATGAGACACTTGTCACCGAAGCTGAATATAATTTCAGGTATTCCACATCTGCGACAATGGACGCAAGATCTCGTTTCTGTGTCCCAATGGCACGATCTTCCAGCAGTCGCAACTTATATGCGACTGGTGGTTCAAGGTGGACTGCAGCAAGTCCACGGAGTTGTATGAGCAGAGCGCTGAGCAGCTGGCCGAGGAAGAGAAGAAGCGTGCGGAAGCGAGAAAGATGAAGTCCGAGTTTCATCGCGCGGCGGAGCAGCAAGGTAACACGGATTACTACGAGAGTGTCGACTACGACGGCAGGCAGAACGGCAGAACGAATCCGTACGGTCAGTCCGCCGCCAAGCAGAATCAAATTCCGGAAAGACAGGCTGAAATCAAGTCCAACCAACACTTCGGGCCGAACAACGTTTTCGACAACACTCGTGGTTCTGGTCGCTATTACCAGGACAACAATGCGAACGCGTTACTGACTAACGAGAAGACGAGCCAGGCGCCTGAGAGCTTCGACCAGCCGCCGAAACAGCGACAATATTACGACGGGTCGAATTATCAGGTCAGCAGGCAGAGGAATCAACTGGATGCGCAGAGCGGCAAATTCAATTACGAGCACAACAAGTTCCAGGATAGCCGGCAGAACTATCAGACCAACACGCAGGATCATTATCAGTCTAATCAAAACACACCGCGCAGCAACGAGAAGCCGGCGTTCGGTAACTCGAAGTCGCGAACCTCGACGCGAAACAATCTGTTCAGTTCCAACCAGTCGCAAAAAGCTACGCCGACGTACATGGAGACGACGACTTTTAGAACGACAACCTCGGCGCCTCCGAGAGAGTACCAGCAGTTCGCGGAGAGCGCTGCCTTCGTATCTAATCGTGGAAATCGCTTCAACTCTGCCAAGTCAGAGAACAATCGTCAGTATTATTATCATTCGTACGACTATCGAGATCGCACCACGGTTGACTACCGCGGTCAAGAGACGACCACCGTGACGCCGCAGAAGAACGAAGAGACGGTGTCCTTCACGCCGAAAACGGGCGTTCCGCCGTTCCCCGGGCCCACGTTCACTCCTATTTACAAGCCCAGGACAACGACATTACCACCTTACGAAACAACGTTGCAGTACACGCCGACCACCGAGACGTCTTACTACAGCACTCCCTACTACAAGCAAGACGATACTCCGGAAACTACTACGTACGCCAATGCCGACGCCACGACCGTCACCTCGTCTTCCTCTGTAGAGGAGTACCCGACTACGTCCTTCACCACGCGGAGCGATTTACGGACTCCTCCGGCCATAGGCAGAGTGCCACCGGCCCCCGCGAATTATCAAACTCAGCAGTACGTTGACAATAGGGTGACCGAACAGAGAGACACCGATACCTCTTTCGCGACTACGCGTCCGTACGTGAATACCGAGAGCTATCGACACAACGTCGCTAACGTCACTTCCACCGCCAGTCAGGACGTGCCTCCGTCGACGACGCCGTTTTACGAAGACTCTCGTGGTCAAACCCACGGCAGTTATCAAAACGGAAATAGCATCGCGAATCTCGAGAGCAAAGGCACAACGGTGGACCCTTGGCGCGCGACTTTGCAAAGCTTCCAGCAAAATTCGATCAGCTCGACGGAGAAGCCGTGGAGAAGCACCAACGCTTATCAGCAGAGCAGCTCCACCAGCAAGACCTTGAGCCCTTACGACACCAGTTTTACTTACAAACAGGGGAAAGTGCTGTCCACTTTAGGCCCGTATATACCTTTCACCAAAAACTATGTTTATTCCACGATGACCACCACTCCGACGCCGAAACCGCCGACCACCGTGCCGGTATATAACCCCACCCTGACAAATTATCGCATAACCGCGAGCAATCTGATACCCAAAGTGAAATTGTCGCCTCCGGTGACGAGCAAGCCCAAGGACAGAGCGACCTATTTACCCGAGCCTAGCACCAAACCATCAACGACTTTGGAGGACAGACCGTATGCCGAACGAGAACACGCGCTCAGCATGCTGCACTCTCTTCAAGGTCTAGAAAATAACGTGGAAAGTTTGAGCGAGATCGGCGCAAAGGACGGAAACGGTCGAAACGGGCCCTCCGCGCCCGGCCCGTCCACCTTGCACTCGTTGGCTCTGTATTTCGCCACGGCCGGCGACAATCTTGGCTCCAACGAAACCGTCGAGTCCACCGCGAGTGTCGAGGAAGTCGAGGATAGGGAAGGCAGTCACAAGGAGTCCGTCGAATTACCGACCAGCATTCTTACACAGCACACTATCTCCTCGTACGTCGAGCTGTTCAATCTGAACAATGCGCTCGAGGGAAACGCCACGATGGCCGAGCTCACGTCGGAAGGCGATGACGTTGGCGGCGAGGTGGACGACGATCTAGAGATCGAGCAGAGCGAGGGTCCGGTGAACGGCGCGAAGAGATCGAACAACACCAAGCTGCGCGAACTGGCCCAGGTTTTCACTCACGCTTTGTCGGCGTATCTACAGGATCCGGATACCTTTAAGAAAGTGCTCACGGAGATTAGACCGACGCAACCTCCGGTAACAACCGCCGATGGCGGTCAGTACGAAATAACGACGTTATATCCGACCACTGCGGAAGAATACGCTTCGGTGACGAAGGAGAAGGATGAGGTCCTGGATTTTTCGGACGATGCCGACGTTACCAGAAGACGCAAGCCCTCTACCATATTCCCTACCACCTTACAGCCGCCCGTCGCCACCGATAGATCGTACTCGACTTACTATACGACGCCATTTGATGAGTATTACACGACTTCGGAGAGCCAGACGCGAAGGCCAGTTTACTATCCGAGCACGACGTTGTTACCGCCCAGCGTTTCGTCGTACGATTCAAGGGATTACGTTGAATCGTCGACACAGAGTGGTAATACGTTTGCCTTTGAGGTGAATCGCGTTTTTACTACCACGATGAACGACATTCAAAATTACGACGGCGATACGAGAGATTCGACTGATCTGTCGCTGGTCTACGACAATTATTTCCCATTGGACGAGGACGGAAATCGAAATAAGATCGGCGGCTTCCAGAATAACACGGCGGGGACCTTTCAACCTTACGGTAAAAACGTCCAACCGGACGGCGCTACGCCCATAAGCAACTACGTGGCGTCGTCGACGGTGGCGTCCTTTTCGAATTCTAGGCCAGGAACAACCCCACCCAGCTGGGGTAAGGGCTCAGCTGGCGAGAAACCCGTTCAAAATCTCACACCGCCGCATTATCATCGTTTCGGTAATGTGAAGAGTTTCGAGGTGTCGAACAGCATCCTGCCGAATCAGGCGGTGCGCTCGACGACGCCCTTGTCGAGAAACAAGCCCACCTACGAGACCGCCAGCAGTACCGTTCAGCCCTTCAGGATACGCTACTACGAATCAACGACAGCGCCGTCCGAATCTCTCGCCACGGCTCGTAGTACGTACGCCAAGTACAGGAACAGTTACAAGCTGGAAAGCAATCGTATAGAAGGTACTCGCAAGCCCGCGACGACAACGGTGGCGACGACTATTCGGGACGACGTTGAGACACTAGATCCTGTCACCGTAACCGTCAGCGACGTTACCCCGTATACCGCCACCGTTATTCGCGCCACCCCCAGCAAGCCGGCGAACGCGTCGACCACGAGACACTCAAACCTACTGAACAACGATCATTGGACCTCCTCGCCCATGGTCACTCAGCTCTGGGAGACAACGGTGTTCGTAGATCCCCGGCACATCAATCACGGCCTAGAGTCGAACGTCGGCACCACTCAGTCGCCCGACACAACCGGTAACGCCATCAACGAAGAGTCGGCACCCACCGTGGCGGCGAGCACCGCGAGATCACCGACGTTGTCCGCAGTGGATCTCGACGTGACGACAGAACCACGGACCACCAGCACACCGAGTCCTTGGCAATGGGCGACGAGCGACAACGATCCGCCCGTGACATTCACTCTGCTGCCGACGACCTTCGCCGCGGAGAACACGGCGACACCGACTCCGATCATCACAACGCGGTCCAGTATAACGACCACGATTACCTCCTCGGTGACGTCGACCAATGCCGCCTCCCGAGACAACCTGTCGTCCACTCTGCTGCCTCTTGCGACGGGCAGCGCGTTGAATACCACCGAGAACGAAGTGATCAAGGCACACGAGATGTTTGGCAATCTGAATGAGACGAGCTCGAACACGTTGATGCGAGTGATGAAGCAGGCCGACAGCAACGCGACGGTCAGGCAGTTGGTACTGTTGCTGATAAATCATTGCAACGGACCCAGAAACAAGACGATGGAGCAGGAGAAGGAGCAACTGATAGACGCTCTTCTCAGACTGCCCGTTAACGAGTTCAGCTCGGAGGAATCGCGAGAAATCATCGCCGGCATCAACAGACTTAATATTCCGATTTGTACGTATTGTACGGTATTTAGTAGCATTTAGAATACTTTATGCAAATATTAATTTTAATCGGCGTTCCAGTTATACAATAAGGATGCTTTCTTTGGATAAATTAATTTTAACCGTGTATTTAATTGAATTCCAAGGTACAATCAATCACGTTTCGTTATTAATTTATTAATGAATGGATTGTTTTCAGCGTAATACAGTTAATTCTATTAACTGCTTTAACAGGCACGAAACAGTATTGTAAGAGTACAATGCAGGACCTCTAAAAAGACACAAATTGATTTAAGAATCAAGATGAAAATGTATTGGGTCATCCCATAAGTCTTGCGGTTCGTAGAGATGTTTTTGAAATAAAACAAAAATTTGACATTTTAATTTTAATAAATAAATAAATTTTTTCGATTATTATTTACGCAAATCCCTTCTATTTTAATCTTAAATTTTCAATTTTCTGCCGATGGAAGTTTGTCGATTTTTTAGCCGAGGAAGAATAAATCAAGCGCTCCCTTTTATTCCGTATTATTTATGGGATGGCCATACATACGATATAAAATGTTTCTTCTTTTTCATAATTTTAAAAATTTGCTATCAATCTTGTCTTCTTAGGCAAGGCATTCTTATTCAGGCATTGTTATTTCAGAGCCGTATTTGCAACGCATGATCTTATTACGAAATGAGATCTATAAATTTTTCCAGTAGAATTCTGTATTGTGTTCCAAAACAATATTCCTTATACTCACGAGGTGATATTGCTTATGTAAAAACTGTAACATCGCCAATTTTATACAAAGAAAATATTTTTTATTTCCTTAGTATATTTTGTTATTTGTTAAACAACACAGAGATTAATCTTTTATGTATTATTTTGTAGCTAAACTACGAACGGTTGCTTTGTCGAATTCCACGACGATAAGAACTCCTCGAGCGTCAACCGTGAGACCCACGCCGTCTGCACCATCCATTACTACGTTTCGCAGTAGAACGGGACGAAAATTCCGTACGACTACCGAGAGTGCCAGCGTCCTTGCCAGAAGATCGGACGACGCTGTCTCGGAGACGAATAATTCCTTATCGGAGAACGAGGCCACCGCTTCTGACAGCCGAGCCCTCGAGCTCCTCAGGTCGCTCTACACAATAGCTGCTAAGTGGGGCTGAGAAGCCGCATAATCGACGACCGATCGGAACTACGCGCGCGTCGGAAGACTCGCGAGATGAAGATCTCGCTGGAGTACCAGAAGACGTTCACCTGTCGATACGTCGGAGTGGATCGTTGCTGTCACCCATCACCGTGTCACTCCGCCTAGCTTAAATTCGAGGGTTCAAGCTCCGAACGGCGAATCGATTTTGATCTCGGCCCATGAATCGACGCCCATGAACAAATAGGAATCCGCTCTGCGAGTGTTTCTTGGAGGAAGAGAGAGAGAGACATGTAGTGCATCGTACTTCTTGTCGAATACCATTATACGAAGTCGACAACGTTCAATTATTATTGGTTCTGGAATGCTAACATTATTAAACTTGGCTGTTGTACTACTACATTTGCATACAGTGCTCGGAAAATTAGAGCTGAAGATTGGCTTCTTCGAACTTGGATGGGTAACGCTGCTACGAAGTTCGATTTAACTTGGGGCCGAGATTGACATCTGCGCTCGCGGATATTAAGCAGGGTCGCGTAACGATCGATCTCGGTAATGTAAATCCGAGCCGCGGCTGCTTGATACCCGCGACCTGAGCGTAACTCGTGTCGGTTAATATGCGGAGTCCCGATCGATCATCGATCGACAAGATTGCAATATAAAAATTAACCGGCTGTAGTCCGACGTTAAGATTATATATTGCTCGCCGTCCTTTTTATTAAGAATAAAACATCGATCGCCTCGAAATATCGGCAACTATTACTTGAAGAAAAAAAGAAAACGCCTGCCATACTTCGTCCCTCCTGTTCAGCGACTTTGCGTGAACGGTACACTCAACTTTTTATTCTCTCTTCTCTATAATCAAAGAAGTTTGCACATATTAAGCAAGGTAATTTTATATATTTCACTTATGTTTATCGCGCAATGATGTAACAACAAGGTTTTTCTCCAAATGTTTCTTTCTTATATAATTTTTTAAGTCCTTAACTGGCTGTCGTGTAGTTACGTTGTACAATTGTCCACACATATATCTGTGCTTAGAGAAATGGATTTTGTTGGAAAACAATTTGACAAAACTTTATCTAATCGTTTGATTTAAATCCCCTGGATGTGTAGACATTACGTATTACGTATTTGAGGTAAGAAGTGGATTTTAATCACTGATGTAGAATATGAGGGATCTTCTTTAATACTTGTTTAACTTTATATTCCTAGTATATGTACACGTGTAAAACAGTGACTGTCCTGCATGCCAACGTAAAAAGGGAGCGGACATTTTGACACATTCACGCTCCTCTCATAGTGTTGCCAGGTACATCGTCAAATTGCAACTCGTCCTCGTTGAATTGCATGCAAAATTGGCGGAATGTGATGGCACGTGGTGAATTGCACCATGTACGCTTATGGTTATCCGTACCGGTCGGACTCTACGCGACACAATTTCAACCCTTTTCCCGCGTATCTTCCCCTAACGAGGTCACTATCGTCCTCTTTCGAAATACGCGTTAATTCCTGGGCGGTGTTAATCTCTGCAGAATTGAAATTCGGCGGAACGTACGTTACGCGTCGTACGAACTTCCACGCAACCCAAAACTGGCCGTCGAACTATTGTTCAGTATTACAAAAAGACTCCCTAGGAGGGATCCACCTGGTTCTTTTCCCGGCGGATCACGTGAAATTATTTATTCGCTTTCGCTGTGTTGCGATTCCTACGTACCTACGGCTAACAGTAAGTTACTTATATCTTGAAATTACGGTGTTGGTAACGTTTCTCTTTCGTTTGGGCAGTTTCGAGGTCGGCGATGCGCTTCCGTTACGATCCCGAAACGTCCAAATGGGGTTTCTAGGTCATTATTTAAGTACGCGATTTAGCGTGTAGCTGTGTATCGACTTTATGTAATATACCTTTGTACAGTATGTGAATAAATATATACAGGGTTTTGTTTAGCTGTGTTTTACCTGTCACGTACTTACAATACTTTCTTTGTAATATGTTTCTTATGGTACTTTTATAAGAGCTTTAATATTTTTATTAATAAAGGAAAGTCCTCTATTATGAGATAGCAGGTTTTCAACGTTCAAATTCAATCACAGATCTTTTTTCGCGATGATTACACGATCTAACAATAAATTTTCCACTAAACAGAGATATTGCTCCGAGAGCAATAAATTCACGGTGAAACCAATAGATGATGCTAATTAATTTAGCAGAAACTCCGCTATCACATATTAGCAGCCTATTTCATAATAGA